AGAATACTTTCTTATTTACCTACTTAGCTAATACAAGTGGTGCCTAAATAAGTAATGTTTTATAGAATGAATTGATGCAGGTGGGAGAGTCACTGTCATACGAAACTGTCAGAAGCATTTGAACCAGAGCAACTCTATCTTGAATACGGGCTGGATAAAGTAAGTCTGAGACCTATACGGCTGCATTCCCAGGAGGTTAGACATTCTTAGTCAAAGGAAGACTTGGCAGGTATCTCAAGATACAGGTCACGAAGACCTTGATGATAAAACAGGTTGCCATTAAGAAGCCAGACAAAACCCACCAAAACCAAGATGTCAAGGAAAGTGATCTCTGGCCTTCCTCACTGCTCATTATATGCTAATTATAATGCGTTAGCATACTAAAAGACATTCCCACCAGCACCATGACAGTTTACAAATGCTGTGGCAATATCTGGAAGTTATCCTACATGATATAAAAAGAGAAGGAACTCTCAGTTCTGGGAATTACCCGCCTCTTTCCCAGGAAACTCATGAATAATCCACCCCTTGTTTAGATATAATTGATAAATAACTATAAGCATACTAAGTCAAGTAGCCCATGCCACTGCTCTGTCTATGGAGTATCCATTGTTTTATTCCTTTACTTTCTTAATAAACTTGCTTTCGCTTTAGTCTATGGGCTTGCCTCTAATTCTTTCTTGAGTGAGGTCCAAGAACTCTTCTCTTGCGGTCTAGATCAGGACCCCTTTCCAGTAACAAAACTAGGGATCAACTTAACCTACAAGTAAATTAAAATCTGCTTAATTAAACTGAGTAAATATTAAATATGCTATCAAAGAGAATATAGTCAGAGAGACAAAAAACAAGGAGGGAAAGGAAGCAGAATCAAGAATGTTTGCATTCGGCCGTGCTCGGTGGCTCACGCCTGTAATCGCAACAGTTTGGGAGGTCGAGGCGGTGCGGATCACGAGGTCAGGAGATCGAGACCATCATGGATAACACGGTGAAACCCCATCTCTACTAAAAATACAAAAAAATTAGCCGGGTGTGGTGGCGGGAGCCTGTAGTCCCAGCTACTCCGGAAGCTGAGGCAGGAGAATGGCGTGAACCCGGAAAGTGGAGCTTGCAATGAACCAAGATGGCGCCACTGTGCTCCAGCCTGGGAGACTGAGCGAGACTCAAGTCTTGAGCCCACAACAGTGTAGTGAGGTAAAAATGTAGTGGGTGTCTGGCTAAGCTGGGCTTAAGTCTCAGTTACAGCTGAGTGTACACGAGCCCCTGCACTCCCACAGACACTGCAAATGAGTCACCAGCCACACACTGCTGATGTTATAATAAGGAAAATCCATGTGCACTGAATTCAAGAGTATTTACAGTTGTAGCGACTGGTGGACTTACTGGTGCCCCACTAAAGAAAGGTCTTAGGAGAAATTTGTTTCACAAATGAAGGCAGAGAAAGTAAAAAAAGAATTTGAGATATATAAAGCACCTTGACTTGTATACTCACTAGAGTTTCTAAGTATCTCAGGCCTTTTGTTCTCTCTGCTGAGTCACATCAGAATCAGTATAGTTCCATGTAGTCTAGCCTGTTCCACCAGATTCAAATCCGTTCACTTGGGAATGGTGGGAATTTATTTTTTGGTGACATTTGTCAATTGCCCTGCAATAAAAGGAGTCCTTCAATTACATCTATCCTTTCTGTTTACCAGGTGCTGCAGGCCACCTATAGGTTGGGTAGTTGGAGAACAGGGAGTCTCAGTTAACAAAGCTTAGTAGACTATTAAAAAAGAAAAAAGAAAAAAAAATTTGCCTGAGATTTGCATCAACTGTATTTATTGAATCATTTTCTGATCTGTGACTCAAATGGAAAATGTATACCCTGGGGATTGGAATTATTATCAGGCAACTCCTACAGATTTCTGTTTGTTTTCTTGTTCACCATAACTCATAGATTATATTCTGACTTCTAAGGAGAATGATGTGAAGTTCTCACAGAGAAACTCCTCACATGGGTAGGGGCGAGAAGGGAACAAAGTAATCCCATGCCAATAAAAAAATAAAGGCGATATATCCCATCATGAACTTGTATGTCTCTGTGAGCTTTGTTTTAGGACTCATATTGACTAGGACTAAACCTGATAACCAAGACTCATGACTCAACTGCCTGCTTGGGCCAGACAAGTAAGATAAATGCATAGTACTACAGGTATAAGACATCCAGGAATGAGGGAAGGTAGGTGCGTTTGTCTGTTTTACATTGCTATAAAGAAATATCTGAGACTGGGTATTTATAAAGAAAAGAGATTTATTTGGCTCATAGTTCTTCAGGCTATATTAACATGGCACCAGTATCTGCTCAGCTTCTGGTGAGGCCTCTGGAAATTTCTACTCATGGTGGAAGGCAGAGAGGGAGTAGGTATGTCACATGGTAGGAGAGGGAGTAAGAGAGAGAGAGGAGAAGGTGGCATAAAAAACAACCAGCTTTCATGTGAGTTAATAGAGTGAGAACTCATTCGTTACCATGAGGATAGCACAAAGCCATTCAAGACGGGTCTGCCTTCATGATCCAAACACCCTGCACTGGGTCCACCTCCAATACTGAAGGTCACATTTTAGTATAAGATTGAGAGAAGACATACTTCCAAACCATATCAGTAAAGAACCAAAACTGCAGCCCAGCTAATGTCTCTCAAATTAAAAACACACAAAAGGCTACTTTGCTGGCCAAATTCTCAAATGTAGTCTGGCCTAACTAGTCCTAAATGTCTCCCTTTGTACCCACCTACCAGTAGTTTTGTCATATCCATAAAATGCTCCTCGGAAGAGAATGGTTCATGAATAAAATTTAAGTATTTAAAATGATTTATTACAAACATCAGCATTTTCTCATGATTGAAAGTGGAGACTGTGGAAATGTCCCGTTAGAGTTAGTATCTCAGCTCTGCCACATTTGAACTCTGTGCCTCAGTTTCCCCTCTGAGCAGTTCTGTGCTTTGGGCAAGTCACATAACTTTTCTATGCCTTAATGTTCCCATCTGTAAAATAGGCCTGTTAACAGGGAGAACCAACTAGTCTGCAGAGGCCACACTTCTAAATAGTTTCGATACAGTTCAAAGGGTTGTTTTAAGAATTTTATGAGTTTTGATATGAAAACTCCTTTGAGCCACGTCTGGCATATTGATAGCAAGCAGCACAATGACATTATCTATTATTATGTTACTCACTTTTCCCCTTTAAAGTGAAAGTCTGTTTGATATCTGAGTATCATACTTGCATAATGTTATGGTCCGAATGTTTTGTACCCTGAAAACTCATATTAAAACTTAACCCCTAGTACAACAGTGTTAGAAGGTGGGGCCTACTAGAAAGTGTTTAGGTCATGAGGATGGAGCTCTCATGAATGAATTAATGCTGTTATACAAAGGATTGTGGGAACAGATTTTCTCTCTTCTGTTCTTTTGTCTCATAAGAATCAGCGTTTCTCCTCTCCAGATTATGCAGGGTTCAAGGTACCATCTTGGAAGTGGAGACCAGGCCCTTACCAGACAGCAAACCTGCCAATGCATTGATCTTGGACTTCTCTGACTCCAGAACTATGAGAAATCATTTCTATTTGTTTATAAATTACCCAATGTGTGGTATTCTGTTACAACAACACAAAACAAATTAAGATGCAGAGTTCAGTTATTCTGAAATCATTTAACCACTTGCCTTTAAAACTTATTTTAAAATATCATTTCTAGTTAAAATTTGGAGCAGGTATATCCATGACACGTAACCTATAAGCTAGGGATCTTTTGGCACAGGAATTGTTGTCAAATTTTACAATATATATAAATTTCCTGGAGAACCTGATAAAATAAAAATTGCTGGGCCCATCCACAGCGTTTCTGACTGAGTGGGTATCAGACTTTCCCAGAGAATTTATTTGCATTTTAACAATTTCTAATGTGATATTGATTCTGCTGATCTGGAGACCAGACTTCAGAACCATTGTCTTAGCAAATGACATCCAATTTTTGTTTGGTAAAGAATTTTGAAAAGGTAAACAGTAAATTTACTCCTCTGTGTGTGTATATATACATCCATCCACATTCACATATATAATTTAATATATAAAATTATCATTTACTATATATTTAAAAAGACATTAAATAATCATGTAGTATGAATATGTAGGATGTTTAATATTCATATAACACTTCTAAATTGCCATCATTGGCGTGTTTAAAAAACATTTTATTTCATAAACATGGGATTTTTTAATTTCTTAAAACGACTAATTAACTCATTCACCCTTGTCTGACAGATATGTATGTAATCACTGTTCATTTGGGGCAGGAAGCCTTCCTGGATGACCTCCTTCATGCCCGTTCCTGGCCCCTGCTCACCTTGGTAAAGGTCTGGGAAAAAAATAAAACAATGAATAAACAGAAAACTTTTCTGGCTTCCAGGCGCGTGATTGTGTATGTATATGAGATTTTTGAGATTTTATTTTAATGAAGAGTATTTTCCTTTAACAGTATAATTGGAAAGAATATAAAGCCATGTAATATGAAAACTTTAATAACTATTAGTGGCATAGTAATAGTAAATAATGTAAGGAAGAGGAGGGCCAATCAAAACACTAATGAGTGAGCTTGTATTTTGTAACTGAGTTTTTCTTACGTATAGATGTGCATAAGTTAAAATGCAAGATAACATGTGAAAGATTTATTTGAACTTCCCTTTGTGGTAAAACTGGCAGTGAAGTACTCATATCCAGGGACATAATGCTCTAATTTTGGAGTTTCACTCTTGTTGGCCAGACTGGAGTGCAATGGCATGATCTCGGCCTACCCCAACCTCTGCCTCCCTGATTCAAGCAATTCTCCCGCCTCAGCTGCCGGAGTAGCTGAGATTTCAGGCATGTGCCACCACGTCTGACTAATTTGGTGTTTTCAGTAGAGATGAGGTTTCTCCATGTTGGTCAGGCTAGTCTCTAACTCCCCACCTCAGGTCTCCCAGGCCACCTGCCCTGGCCTCCCAAAGTGCTGGGATGACAGGCATGAGCCACTTCACCCAGCTATTATTTCTTTTATAAATGTGAGAGGGAACTAGTATTTGAACTTTGAAAAACTGGGTGATTTGAGCTACTATCTGATTTAAACCCATGAACTCACCAAATATAATAAAATGTAATAAAATCATATTACACTTTCTTATCTTGCTGAAAATATAGGTATGTTTTATTGAAGCAACTACATTCTTAAGAGAAGGAATTAATTCTTTTCACGGTTAATGTATAGAGTGTCTCAGAACATAAAATAATCTAGGTGTTTCCATGTGGCCAAATTGTAAAACAGTATGTCCTAGGATTCTGCCAAGTCATCAGACAGTGTTCCCACATCTCCCATTCAGGATCACAGGATATCAGCTTTAAACAAACAGAACTGTGAAGCCCAATTAATCTAAAAGATGGTCCATTTTTGTTAGTTTGTTGGTTTAGGGCACCATTCTGTTTTATTGTACAGGTCATAAAACTCATGTGAAATCTGTAACTGATCCAGCTTTTCCAATTGAAGAAATAAGTACCCAGTTCACCTCCTTGCCTCTGAACGGCATTTTGAAAATTATTAATCAAACTACTCTTCTAATAATAAATTGATTTCATCCATCTGTAGCAAAAGTAAGTGCTGAATAATTAAATTTGATTATATTATCAACCATATGAAATAAGTAAAAGTAAATCATTGTTGCTTCTGAAATCCAACTATGACAAGGATTTGATTTCAGGCACCTGAACTTTGTAGCTCAATTTGAACAAAAATATTAATAAGCTTTTGTTTTCTTACCTCTAAAATTAGGATAATAACTTCTTCATTTTAAAGTTTTTATTAGGATAAAGTAAGCATGTTTTACCATTATTATTCTTATTTTTATTATTAATGCACCATTAATTTTCAGTTCTACTTAGATGACATTATGCTGCAAACCATTTTTTATTAATTTCATATAATGTAGGTAGTACTCTAACTGATGAATAATTTTTTAAAAGAATGTTTATTCATTCTTGGTATTGGATATATCTAATCTAGCATTTTCCTTCTGAGGAGGTAGGAGCTCTCTTCAACTACTGGTGCATGTTTGTGACATAATTTCAGGTCTTGATATATAATGAAAAGTATTTATTTGTGTGTATATCTACTTACTTAACAACAGACACATGCTTCAGCTTTGTTTTCCAATTTTAGATTTCCAAATTTTAGTTTTTTTGTTTTGTCTAAAATTGTAAGCTTACAATTTTAATTCAGTTTAATATCCATATATCAAAATATGATCACTTCCTTTAGAATTCAAAAAAAAGAGTGTTTGAGATTATATGCACTACCAGGGAATTTTATTACCAGAAGAAACCCTGCAGTATAATTTATAAATACAAAAACTGAAGTTTTAATGTTACTAAGTTAATGTTAAAATTCATTATATTAATATTACTCGTTAAATATTCTGGACTTTGAGGTGTCTATATTACCTCATGATTCTGGTAAAAACAGAGAACATAGAATATTCTTTTCGGTGACTGAAAAAAGAGAAAATTAAAAGGGCAGTTTTGGGTGAAGAAGCTTTTGAGGCACTGTTTCTCTTTAAAAAATCTGAATATACTAGTTGTGGGAGTGAGACACTGTTGTTTCCATATTTCATTTCATCATTTTTATGTCAGTGTTCTGAAACCTATATCCTAAGTTAGTGGGTACAAGAGGGCCCAGTTCTGGGAGGCTAATTTGCTCCTTACTGATCCAGATAAAGGGGAGGTTTCCAACATGCTAATCTGGCTGAGGGCTTATGAGACTGCTATTTGCCTGTGATCTATTTGACCTCTCTTGTCTTCTCCATGGGGAAGTTACACAATTTATTTTGGACAGGCTAAGCTCATCTTTCATGAAGTGGCAGCCTTTATCCTTTATTGTTTCCATTGATTAATGCCAGTAGGTTCTTATCTGTCTTGACCAGCTGCTGCTGTGAGGTGCGAAACCTGTGCCCTTATTCACAGGAAATGCAACTCCCCCACCACCACCCTGGGTTTCACTGACATCATGGTCTGTGGAAGAAGTAACTTCATGCCCTTGTACCTTCACAGGAGTCCAGATCCCTTCACTTTGTTCAGAGGGGATTACAAACACCCGAGGCTGTTGTGTTGTCCATAGCTAAGCTTGGCAAATGGGCTCACACAAGAGAGTGACTTACGATAGTATCCTTACCCTCTGCTTCTAGATCCTGTAATCGAAATGTATCCAAGTTGTTTCAACTTTCATACATTGTGAATACTTTTCCCTCCTATTTTGAGATACCAAAGAGGTACTTTCCTCTTACTCAAACCCTACTACAAAACATAATGTTCTAATTTACTTTCCACTGAGGCTTTCTCTCTTTCTATATGACTGAGAAGTAAGTGTCTTCCTTCACAAAGTGCAAAGTAATGAAACCAGTACAACAGAGGACAATGTACAATGCTCTGAAACCATTTTATACACCATCATATAATTGTTTTATTGTTCCATTTATTTTGTTTAACATGTAGTGGTAAAGCCTTAGGTATCAGAAACTTCATGTGGAACTGGCTCCAATTGATCAATTATTGGAATATAGGAGGTGTGACATACTGCTTTGAGGTGTGAACACTGCTTTGAGGTGGCACACTGCTTGCAGGAAGCATGGCCACTGCTTTGAGCCTTTGCTGCCATTCCAAAACCATGGGAGAATTATAAGCTTTATATCCTGGTATGCATACAATTATCCATAGAACTAGTTAGCTTCAAAGTTCTAAATGGAATGTATATTGTTGTGGTTGCTTGTATCTGCCCATCTTAGATTCTTCCTAGCAATAATTTTGAGAGACTATGGATTGTGGGCTGAATGGAGGATGAAGCCTTTTCAAATTCGCCTCCCAGGTAGACAATGACACGTAGTTTCCAGAGACTAACGTGCTTCAAATGTTGGTCTCTATAACTACTACGTACTCCCTTTTGTTTATGTATATGTTCCCATTCATGAACTACCTAATAGGGGCCTTAAACTCATACTCGGTATGTTAAACAGTCTGAGCTGCTGTAACAAATACCATAGACTGGGTGACTTATAGTAACATAAACTGGGGGTTTCTGTTTCTGTTTCTCTTGGTTTCTGTACTTCTGGAGGCTGGGAAGCCCAAAATTAAACAGATTTGGTGTTTGATGAGGGTTCACTTCCTCACAGATGATCAACGTCTTACTGTAATTTCACAGGGCAGAAACGGGGAGGGATCTTTCTGGGGTTTATTTCTATAAGGGCATTTCTCCCAATTCTGAGAACTCCTCCCTTGTGACCTAATCATCTGCCAAAATCCCTACTTCCTAAAACCACTGGGAGTTAGGACTTTAACATATTAATTTCAGAGACATGTATTCAGTCCTTTGTACTGGGAAACTGTAGTATTCAGAATTTATTACTTTGCTGATGCTTCATTGCTGCACATATAATACAAAAGAATATTTTTATGTATTGTTAGAGACATTGCCTAGGACTCCAGGTTTGGGATGAATCTCTAAGCTACCACTCAGTACAAAGTATCCAAAACTAGGAAGAAGACATTCATGTTCCTCTCTAGAGAGAACAAAAACGAATGCCATAGATGGAGTGTAACAAAGCCTCCAACTTCATCTCACATCTAACTTGAAAATCACCATGTACATGAAATATATCTGACCCTGAATGACCCTCTTTTCTCCTACTCTAATTGATACCCCCCTTTCCTAATCCATTGTCTATGTCAACTATTCCTGCTATTCCTCTTCTTTAGGATACCTGGATTCACTTTATAGCTCTTCCATGTATAAATCTAATGGATAACACAACATCTCTGAGGCTCATATTTTGATCTGTAAAACCGGGATGAAGGTTAACTTACAAATGATCTGCAGGTTTCTACAGTGAACCCACTAGGAAACACTTCTGGAGAGAGAGTGTTTCATAAGTATGAGACCTCACGATGGAAAGTCTGAATTTTCTTCCCCAAATTAAGACACCTGTATATTTGGATGAAGCATAATGCAAAATGCATTTTCCTTCTGAGACTTCAGGAGAACTCTCCAACTAATATAATTATGTGATTATTACTATTCTTTGAAGATCTGTGATTTAGAAAGTATTTAAACCATGAGTGTTTATAAACAGTGTTTGTATTTTAGGTTCACTGACAGCAATATATTACTTTATCAAATTAAATAGACTTATGAATAATACAACAATGTAACATTGAGATTATTTGGCAAAACAACTAGAAGACCACCTGTTTGTCTAGCATAATTATATATTTTGTCTGGTGACATGTATGTTTAAAAATCAATATAGTTATACTTACTAGCAAGTATTAAAACATGTATACATATATGCACTATATATGCACACATGTAGACAATATGGAAAACAGTAATATAGTTAATAAAACATAAAAATTAATAAATACATATTTGGGATTTTTAAATTAAGTACATTGTCATTCATGTATATGAAATATTTATGTACTTACCAATGTACATAGATTTGACATAGTTCTTATTTGTTTTCATTTCAAATAATAGTCTCTGTCTATATACAATTTCACATGCACAAAAAAATTCAGAGTAAGGGCTCCAAAAATCTGTGCCTCAAAGAAAGCAGTAAGAACCCAGGAAAAAATGGGCAAAAACCAAAATTTTAGAACTCTGAACATTAAGCAGTGATCTCAAACAATCTAAAGGTCATTTTGAAAACTGTGAAACTATCATAAGAACAGTGAGCTGTGGAATTTTAACATTCTAATTCCATCCCCCAACCCCCAGGTTCACAGAAGACTTGCAAACCAACAGCTTTGTAGTCACAGTAGCCATAATGTAATCAACAGAAAAATTCCACCTAAAGATGTGTATGTCATATTTCCCAAAACCATAAACATATTATCTTACACATTATCATATATGTCAACATAATGTCTAATTGAATGAATCCAGTGACATATACTTTAGAGACACAATGTTATTAAAGTTTTTACAATTGCCAAAAAATATATATATATATATATATATGCCACCTTGGACTGAAAGACAAAAACAGAAAGAAGAAATGAAAGAAATTCGCTGGACTACCGAAATTCTGTAAACAGAATATTGCCTAATAAAATTCCTCAGCTGAAAATACAGGCTTACTTTTTTTTTTTCAACTTTCATTTTAGGTTCAGGGGGTACATGTGCATGTTTATTACATGGGTAAATTTTATGTTGTTGGAGTTTGGTATGATTTTGTCACTCAGGTAGTGAGTATATTGCCTGATAGGTAGTTTTTCAACTCTCACCCTCCCGCAAGCCTCCCCTTTCAAGTAGGCTCTGGTGTTTGTTGTTCCTGCCTTTGTTTCCATGTATACTCAGTATTTAGCTCCTACTTACATGTGAGAACACACTATATGTAATTGTCTGTTCCTGCATTAATTCACTTATGATAATGGCCTCCAGCTCCATCCATGTTACTGCAAAGGACATGATTTTATTCTTTTTTTATGTCTGTAAAGTACTCCATAGTGTGTATGCACCACATCCTCTTTCTCCAGTCCACCATCGATGGACATCCAGGTGGAATCCATGTCTTTGTTCTTGTGACTAGTGCTGTGATGAACATAGGCACGCATGAGTCTTTATGGTAAAATAATTTGCATTCCTGTGGGTATATAACCAGTAATAGGATTGTTGGGTCGAATGGATTTAAGTTCTGTTTTAACTACTTTTAGAAATATCCAACTGCTTTCCACAGTGGCTAAACTAATTTACATTCCCATTACCAGTGAGTGCAGGAACCTCACCAGCATCCATTATTTTTTTACTTTTTAGTAATAGCCATAATGACTGATGTGAGATGGTATCCCGTTGCAATTTTGATTTGCATTTCTCCGTGATTAGTGATGTTGAATATTTTTTCATATGCTTGTTGGATGTGTGTGAGTCTTCTTTTGAGAAGTGTCTGTTCATGTCCTTTGCCCATTTTTAATGGGGTCATTTGTTCATTCCTTGTTGATTTCAGTTTCTTATAGATTCTGAATACTAGACCTTTGTCAGATGCAAGGTAGTTTGTGAATATTTTTCTCCTATGCTATAGGTTGTCTGTTTACTTTGCTGACAGTTTCTTTTGCTGTGCTGTGCAGGAGCTGTTTAATTATGTCCCACTTATCTATTTTTGTTTTTGTTGCAATTGCTTTTGAAGTGTTTGCCATAAAATTTTTGCCAACGCCTATGTCCAGAATGGTATTTCCTAGGTTTTCCTACAGGGCATATAGTTTTGGTTTTGCATTGAAGTCTTTAATCCATTTTGAGTTTACTTTTTTATATGGTGAAAGGAAGGGATCTAGTTTCAATCTTCTGCATATGGCTAGCCAGTGGTCCCAGGACCCTATATTGAATAGAAAGTCCTTCCTCATTGCATTTTATTGTTGACTTTGTTGAAGATCAGATGGTTATAAGTGTGCAGCTTTCTTTCTGAGTTCGTTAACCTGGCCCATTGGTCTATGTGCCTGTTTTTGTACCAGTACCATGCTGTTTTGGTTATTATAGCCTTATCATATGGTGTGAAGTAAGATAGCATGATGTCTCCAGGTTTGTTCTTTTCCCTTAGGATTGCTTTGACTATTCAGGCTCTTTTTGGGTTCCATATAAAATTTAGAATAAGTTTTTCTAATTCTGTGAAAAATGACATTGGTAATTTGATAGGAATAGCATTGAATCTATAATTGCTTTGGGCAGTATGGCCATCTTAACAATATTGATTATTCCTAGCTATGAGCATGGAGTGTTTTACTATTTGTTTGTGTCATCTCTGATTTCTTTCAGCAGAGTTTTTTTTATTCTCATTGTAGAGATGTTTTCACTTCTGTGGTCAGCTGTATTCTTAGGTATTTTATTCTTTATTAGGATATTTGTAAATGATATTGTGCTCTTGATTTGACTCTCACGTTGGTCATTATTGATGTATAGATATACTACTGATTTTTGTATATCCATTTTGTATCTGGAAACTTTACTGAACTTTTTTTTTTTTTTTTTTTTTTTTGGTTTTAGTAGTCTTTGGGCCGATACTATGGGGTTTTATGGGCATAGAATTATATCATCTGCAAAGAGAGATAGTTTGGCTTCCCCTCTTCTTACTTGAATGCCTTTTCTTTCTTTCTCTTGACTAATTGATTTGGCTAGGATTTCCAGTAAAATTTTTATTGTTTTGAGATCAGATTGTTCTCTGTTGTCTAGGCTGGAGTGCAGTGGTGCATTCATGGCTCAATGTAGCCTCAACTTCCCAGGTTCAGATGACTCTCCCACCTCAGCCTCCCAAGTAGCTAAGACTATAGGTGTATGCCACAATACTAGCTAATTTTTGCATTTTCTGTAGAGATGGGGTTTTGTCATGTGACCCAGGCTGGCCTCAAACTCTTAGGCTCAAGCAATCTCTCAGCTTTCCAAACTGTTGGAATTACACCAATACTATTTTGAACAGGAGTGGTGAGAATGGTCATCCTTATCTTGTTCTGGTTCTCAAGGGGAATGATTACAGCATTCGCTCTTTTGTTAATAGTGGGATGTTGACTGTGGGTTTGTCATAGATGGCTCTTATTATTTTGAAGTATATTCTTTCACTGCCTAGCTGTTGAGGGTTTTTAACACAAAGGAATATTGAATTTTTATCCAAAGCCTTTTCTATGTCTATTGAAATGATCATGTGGTTTTTGTTCTTAGTTCTGTTTATGTGATGAATCACAAATAGTGAATTGCATATGTTGAACCAATCTTGCACTCCAGGATTAAAGTCTATTCAATCATGGTGGATTCGTTTTTTGATGTGTTGCTGGATTTGGTTTGCTTATTTTGTTGAGGGGCTTTACAACAGGGATATTGGCCTA